GGGAGGGGGTGGTATAATCTTCATTGCAAGGCACTGAACCAGACTCTGTTCTCAGTATGGCCCCATCTCCAAGTGTAGAGCCACATGGTGGGCCCAGAGTTGACCTTGTACTTCCTGCAGAGCAGCAGGATCCCAGACCTTTGGGAAGAGTTCATGGTCACTCCCTTCCCTTTGGGGGCCACCCCCTAGGCCAAAGAAAGGGAGCCCAGGGGCAGAAGCTTCACCTTTGTTGTCACACAGACTGGGTTTGAATTCTCAGCTACCTAGCTGAATAGCTTCAGGCAAGTATCTTGACCTCTCTGAATCTCAGTTTCTTTGTCTGTAAAATGGACAGAAGAATATTTTCTTAATCTGGCTTTTGTTGAGATGAAATAGGAGGACGCCCATGAGCGCCTGGCCAACACCTGGGATGCCGTACCTGTTCAGTAAAGGGTGGCTAATGTTGCTCTTTTCATAGTAGATTCTGACACCTCCTTGATCCTTAGGCTGAGACCCTGGCTAAGAAACCCGGGCTGCTGGTACCACCCTGCTTAGTGTCAGGAAGGCCAGGGACTCTTTTTTACTTCTCCCCCTAGGGTCTGAGGACACACTTCTCAGGCTGTATTCACACAACTGTCACCCAGCCTGCTCTACCACCGTCCCCAATTGACCAACTTTTAGAAAATTTAAAAAATCTATCCCCATTTTTCACTCTAAGTGAGCTTTTCTGCATATGAAGAATCTACGCCTTACTCCAACCCCACCCCACCCTGGCCACCACTCGGCACTGGGTTTAAGCTTTTATGTCTGCTTAGTGTCTTCACTTTGCAAGGCAGAACACAGCTGGGGCAATGGGACTCTGAGGATGGACCCCCCCCCAACATGGCAGGAATTGAACGTAGATTGTTTCAGGCATGACTCCTGCCTTTTCTCCCACTGGCTTGTATTTTAGGGGGACAATAAGGGCATGAAGGTGGTGACAAGGTTCCTTCAGGACCAGGGGTCATGGGAGTAGAGGGGCCACTTCTGGGACCCTCCTTCAGCTCTGCCTTCTTGCTCCTCTGCTCCTGCCACCTGGGGCCCCCACTCTTTGTTCTGACCTTGTCAAATCTCCTTAAAGTCAGCTGTAAGGAGGAGGTCTTTTATCACTTTCTATGCACGTGGGAAGCATAGCAGTAGTTAAGAGAAGATTCTGGAACCACACTGCCTGTTTGCATCCTGGCCCCACCACTTTGTAGCTGTGTGACCTTGGGCACGTCATTTCCCTCTCTGTGCTACGGTTTCTTCTTTCATAAAATGGAAACAGTAATGGCATCTGCGTACTAGGGTCGCTGTGGGGTTTAAATGAATGAGTATAAAGCATTTGGCTCAGGGCCGGCACACAGTGGGCCCTCGAGGAGCATCAGCTATGATGAGAATTACTCCCAGGGTTTCACACAGGCTCTGGTGCACACAGTGGGTGCTTGGTTCTGGCTGACTGATGAACCAGTCAGTTTTGATACTGATAACAGGTTGCATGAGTCTCAGGGAGGCTGACAGAAAACCCAGTGTGTGCAATTTCAGCATGTCAGAACACGAATATCTCAAACTCTTCTCATTCATCAGGGAGGTAGGGTTTGCAATTCAGTAATAAAGACCAGGGCACAAAGTGGAGTCAAGTTTGCGGTCAGACAGCTGTCCCATGTGGCATGCACCTCCTTCAGTTCCGTGGCTTGGAGTTGATGTTATCTTTGGATTCAGAGTCCAGAGGGTGAGAGGGCGAACCCTGTGATTCGGGTGAAGTTGCCTGGACAGCAGTGTAGAGCTCACAGTAACATTCACTTTGCCTTACATGGAATTTTGAAACTTACTTTGAAAGGGAACCCTGGGCTACTTATTTAACCTCCTGAGCCAGACCTCCTCCCCTGTCCATGGGGGTAATATTACCTTCCTTTGCAGTTGACCTGAGGATTATATACCATGCAGCAATTCACAGGACCTAGGAGGGCAACTAGAATAACTTACAAAGATTATCGACTACAAACAATCCGGCCCCATGTGACATGGATGAATGCTGGGTCCTAGACAGGTTTTTTGTTTTTAAGGAGTTATCTGTCTCTTGCCCCTTATTTGGATTTGATGCTGCAGTTCAGAGAGGTTAAGTGACTTGACCAAGGTCACACAACGAGAGAGTGTCAGAGACAGGATGAGTAGCCAGGTTTTCTGATTCACAGGGCTTTGCCACTTTACCTCTAACCATCACCACCCATGAGCAGCACTCATGTGCTCTGTTAGGAGCACTCTGCATGGTGTATCTCATTTAATCCTCACCACTGCCCTCTAAGGTAAAGACTACTGTTATTCCCATTTGATACGTGAGAAACCGAGGCACAGAACCATTCAGTAACTTGCCAAAGTGGAGCTTGAATTTTAACACCCGGGCAGGCTGGCTCCCCAAATGCCCCCACTTCTTGGTCCCTGGTTCTTCATGAATATGGTTAAAGAGTTGGACACCACAATTACTGGCAAACCAGGCCCACCTCTGGGCCTCGTTTTCCCATCTATGCGCTGAGAGGGTGGTCTAGATGGTTTGAGGATCCACCCACCCCTGACCTCTATAGGCCTTTTGGAGCCCTAGCACCTGCCCCTGTGGGGTCCCTGTGCGGCTAAAGCCGCAGGGATCTGGGGAGGCTATCAGATAATAATGGTTTCAGTGCTGCTCAGAGAATGCCCCTGGGAGGGCACAAAGTACCACGTGGTGACATGAGACATGCTGTTTTAAACCCACACCAATTGTTCTGCGAGAACCAGGCCGAGGTCCCCCACAGCAGAGAGGGCTAGGTTGTGTCCTAGTTGCTCAAGAGGGCTCAGGAGGATTTGTGGTTTGTGGTTTGTGGGTGGTGGGCAGGGGGTAAGATGAACATGGCTCTCCAGGTAAGGAAAGGGAGAAACTGAGGCAGAGGCAGGCTCACTGGGACACCTGCCCCTCCTACCCGGTGATAAGGCAACGGGACAAAGCGCTGGCCTCGGAGGCCAGAGACCAGGTTCTGACTCCCAGTCTGCTTCTAGTGCTGTGTGTCTCAGGGAAAGCCCCTTCCCCTCTCCACCTGGAAAAATGAGAGGCTCATCCAAGATGCCCCTGGGACCATGCGTCTCGGATCTATAGCCCCAACCGCCCGCAGGGGGCTCAGTGGGCTCCATGCCTGTGCGGCCCCTCAGCCGCGGGCCAGGCCCACAGTGAGCGCTCAGTAACACATGGCTTTGTTGTTACAGAATTATAACGTGAGCGTGTCTGTACTCTCTAGCTACTGGAGTCTCAGACCTCCGTGCAAACTCAACCCCTGACTCTATGAGTGTCCAGGAGCATCAGATAGGATTATTCCTCCCTTACTTCTGTTAAAAAAAAAAAAAAAAAGTGCTACGATTGGGCAAAGTTCTCAGACCATCTCTGCCACTTCCTGGGGCAAGCCTCAACAGCAAACGGGAGTAATTACTTAACGCCATGCCTACCTGAGCGCAGGGGCTCAGCAGATCATCCCTGAGGTCCCATTCAGCTCTGAGATAGGCAGTGAAAATACTTTGTTTGGGTAGAACAGGGCCAAAAATATACATTGGGTTTTGAGCCTGAGAGCCGCACTTCTCAGACTATCAAGGAAGCGCCTGGGGGGTCTGGTCAATGAGCAGATTCTGATTCAGGAGGCGTGGGTGGGGCCCGGAAGTCTGGCTTTCTAACAAAGCTCCTGGATGTTGATGCTGCTGGTCTACGGACCATACTGTGAAGACCAAGGACTTAAGGTTCTTTCTTTTTAAAAAATAAAAATGACAATGTGTTAGTCTCATAATCAGAAGCCCTAAGGTGCAGTGACCCGTGCACCCTGCCACCCTCATGGACGTTGGCCATGATGAACACAGCTTTATGAGCAGGCATGCATGGGAAGACAGTCCCTATGACCTCTTGTGTAGGGCTGGAGGAGGTCCTAGTGCCCTTCTCTCTTAGGGTCCCTGAACCACCCACTTTGCATGAAAGGGTCACTCAAGACAAGTATCAGGTGGATCCCAACACCCTGGCAACTGGCATCAGGCAACCAGACTTCCAGAGCTGAGACATCACTCCTGCTCCTCTCCTGCATTCCCTCTATCTGGTCTGTCAGGGATCCTGCCGTCTCTTCCATCAGAACGACTCCTGGGTCAGCTCTTCACCCCCAGATTTCTGCTCCCTCGTTGAGGTTGCGTTTCCTCACACTGGGCTGATGGGGACGCCTCCTAGAGTCTGCCCAGGTGAAATGCATCCTGCTCCCTTCCCCAGCTCACCTGCCCGAGGCCGCCAACGGGCCCAAAGCCCAGCCCCCTGGGCTGCTGCCCCAGGGACCTTCCCCTGTGGGCTCTTTCCTGCCTATGTTCATGCACCTGCTCTTCCTGTTCTCGTAATCCTGTTCTTTCTCCTCCTCCCGCCCCTCCACTCCCCAAAAGCCGGGGTTCCAAGGGGCTGGTGCAACTTTCCCTACGTAATTTTTCATAAAGGTATAACCTTTTTCCCATGCGATGGTTTGGAGGCTGTTGGGATTTCACTTGAAATTCTTTTTTTTTTTTAAAGATTTATTTATTTTATTTGAGAGAGCGAGAATGAGAGAGAGAGCACATGAGAGGGGGGAGGGTCAGAGGCAGAAGCAGGCTCCCCGCCGAGCCGGGAGCCCGATGCGGGACTCGATCCCGGGACTCCAGGATCATGACCTGAGCCGAAGGCAGACGCCCAATGACTGAGCCACCCAGGCGCCCTTCACTTGCAATTCTGTGCCTCTCCTCCCTGCCATCAGAATAAACATCGGGGGGGCGCCTGGGTGGCTCGGTTAAGCGACTGCCTTCGGCTCAGGTCATGATCCTGGAGTCCCTGGATCGAGTCCCACATCGGGCTCCCTGCTCGGCAGGGAGTCTGCTTCTCCCTCTGACCCTCCCCCCTCTCATGTGCTCTCTCTCATTCTCTCTCTCTCAAATAAATAAATAAAATCTTTAAAAAAAAAAAAAAAAGAATAAACATCGGGGGTCTTTGTGCCAAAACCTCTCGCCAGCACAGGGAATAGAAGCCACACACACAATGACAGGGGGGCCCAGGCAGAGAGGGTGGAGACAAACGGATGCGGAGCTACGGGGGGCAGGGAGGTGCTCGTGAGGGAGCCCTGTAGCGGTCTGATGTGGGACACCCTGGGCGCTGCAGTGCGTTGCATGGTGACTCCCCAAAACGATACAGCCACGTCCTGGAAGCTGGGAAGGTGACCTTATTTGGAAAGAGGGTCTTTGCAGATATAATTAAATTAAAGGGCTCTGGATGAGGCCGCCCTGTACAAGGTCCTTACAGGAGGTACAGGGAGGAGAGGAAAGGGAGGAGCAGGCCACGGGACGATGAAGGCAGAGACTAGAGAGACGCGGCTGCAGGCTGAGGAATGCCCAGAGAGAGGCAAGAGGGATTCTCCCCTACAGCCTTGAGGGAGCGAGATCCTGCTGACACCTTGCTTCCTGAATCTGGGCCTCCCAAGCTGTGAGGGAATACATTTCTGTGGCTTCAAGCTTCCCCGCGTACGGTAATTTGTTACGACAGCCACAGGAAAGAAAGTAGGTGGAATCCCACACTGCCACTTACTGTGCAGCCTTGGGTAAATTGCTTAACCTCTCTGAGCCGACTTCCTCATCCACAAAACAGGGCAATAAGATCTATCTCATTAATTCGTTCATCAGATATCTACTGAGTATGTACTATGTTCCAGGTGCTGGGTTAGGGACTAGAAACACACGGTGAAGGAAACCAGATGTGGCGCTGCCTGCCTGGAGCTACGGTGTGAGGGGAAGCCCGCAAAGAATCCGGTAACTGTTCAACCACAGCCATGGCCTCATGGTGCTGGGACGAGCATCCCAGGCAGAGGCCAGAGGCTTCCCCAGGGAAGTGCTGCCTGAGCGGAGGGAGGAGGGCAAGAGGAGCAGGACGCTCTGTGGGCAGGGGAAGGGCACCTGCGAAGTCCATGGAAGCACAGGCACTCAGGGAGGGAGGTCGGCATGGAGAGCGGGAAGGGGTGTGCTGAGAGATGAGGTGGGGCTGGGGCCGGGGCCAGCCCACATGGGCCACCCTCCTGAGGGCAGGGGGAGTCACGTGGGGACGGAGCCGGGAGCCAGCATCGTCCCACGTGCCTCTGGAAAGATCACTGAGTTGCCGTGCGGAGACCAAACTGCTGGCCAGAGTGGGGGCAGGAAGAACAGTGAGGACACCCCTGCCGTCATCCAGGAGTGGGTGATGGTGGCTCAGACCAGGGCGGTGGGTGCAGCCAGGGAAGGGACCAGATTCAAGAGCTACTTAGCAGGTAAAACCACCGGACCCTGTGAGGAGAGTTGAAATAATGGCTACGGAGCCCCAATGGTGTTTGGCACGAACGAGGGGCTCACTGGCTCCCTGACTACACAGGGTTCCCTTTCTTTCCCTGCACTAAAAAGACCATGGGGGATGGTCCCACAGGTGGTAAGTTTATAGAACTTAGAAAAATCAACTCACCATCCTTGAGTGAGAAGCTCAGAAGGTCCTGGGGAAAAAATAACAGGAATTAGCAATATGTTGATAGGTAATTAGCCTGCTCCTGGCCGAGCCACTTGTCACCTGCATCACTCCGAACAAGTCACTTAACCTCTCTGTGGCTCAGTTTCCTCATTTATAACAAGGGGAGGATCATACTACCTACTTACGCTCATAAAGTTGCTTTGAAAATTAAATGAGTTAGTATTTGTAAGGTACATAATAAGCACCATGTAAGTATTACATTAAATCAATGGTAAATATTCAATATGATAATTTACTATTAGCTATGATCATCATCCTGTGATATTATAATGATATATTTTATTTATTTATTTATTTAAAAATTTTATTTATTTGAGAGAGAGAGAGAGAACATGAGTGAGTGGGGGTGGAGGAGCAGAGGGGGAGTGAGAAGGACAAGCAGACTCTGCACTGAGTGTGGAGCCCGACGTGAGGCCCGATCCCAGGACCCTGAGATCAGGACCTGAGCCAAAACCAAGAGCCGGACGCTCAACTGACTGAGCCACCCAGGTGCCCCCAAATGTTTGATCTTTCAACTATACCACCCCACTAGAAGCGATTTTCAGACTGACTTTGTTCTCCTTTCCCCAGAAGCCGCCCCCTGGGTGGTGGGTGTACCTGAATGATCACCAATGGGTCGTCCTTCAAGATGGGGTCCTTCAATAAAATCGGAGCAAACACATCTGCGCCTTCGCCTCCCAGGCCGTTGGCAAAAGCAGTCATGGTTGGCAAGACGGCTTTGGGCAACTCCAGCCACTTCACGAGGCCCGCCACAAACTCTGTGCAGAAGGAGCTGAAAGACAGACGTGCCTTAGATCCCCAAGGCTTCCAGAACAGGTCTCACAAGGCTGCTGGGAAGTGTAGGTCAGACGCAGTCACGGGTGGGAACAGCCAGCACGTACGGAAACCACGGTGACGGTGGCCCATGGAAGAAGATGGACAGCCAGACACCTAAGGGGCTGAGGAACCAGAGGTGCAAGACACCACGTCGGGTGAGAAGCTCACGGCAGGGTGGACACAGGCACGGGATGCACACACCCTCGGGCCGCGCGACACGCCGGGGGAGGGGGGCGGAAGCGTGGGCAAGGTGGCCCTGCTCAGCTGAGGCAGCCCTCTCTGCAGCGGGAGGAGGCCGTTGCCAAAGGGACATCTGAGCAACGCAGCACACTGCCAAGTAAACTGACCTCCCTGTGCCTCAGTTTCCCTATCTGCAAATGCATTTAAGAGACCAACCTCATAAGGCTGTTTGAGGATTCAACGGGACAGTGCACATGAAGCCCCCAGAGTAGAGCCTGTAGGAGATGCCCAAGGAATGTCGGCTGGCCTCCCGACTTTTATTCCTAAGGTGACCAAGGGAAGGCAATGGAGAAGAGGTTTCAGAGTCGGGCTCTGACGTCCAGGGCCTGGGGGGGGAGTCCTGGCTCCCTCGGTGACTGTCTTCATGCCCGTACTTCACCTCTCTTAGCTTGGTTTTCCTCTGCTATAAAATGCGGACGATAACAGGATATGCCTCAGAGACTGGATAGAAAGATTAAGTGACATTGTAATAGGGCCTGGCACTTGATAACCCCCAATAAATGTTAGCTACTGCTAGTACAGTTATTATCATTTGCCCCGTGGCAATCTACCGGGATAACCCCGGGGCGGTTATGTGGGTATGTGCGGAGGCAGGGAATGACTTCATGAGCTAAACATTACTTACAGTTCAACGAGGGCATGGCCTGGCCCTGTGTCCAGGAAAAAAATCTTGGACGTAGAAAAGCATCTCATCATAAGAGAGGAGGGGTCAAGAGCACAGACTCTGGTTCCAGTCCCAGCACGGCTACTACCTGTGTGATCTTGGACAAGTTACTCAACCTCTCTGTGCCTCAGTTTCTTCATCTATAAAATGGTGGCGATAATGAAGAAACCCATTTCATAGGGTCGCTGAAAGGATTATGTTAACATTTGTCCTTGTACTTAAACAAAATCTGGCCCATATAAAGCGCTACATATGTGTTTCTTTCAATGAAGAAATGAGGGGTGCCCAGATGGCTCAGTTAGTTGAGGAATCGGGCTCCCTGCTCAGTGGGGAGTCTGCTTCTCCCTCTCCCTCTTCAGCTCCCCCTACTTGTGCTCTCTCTCGCTCACTCTGTCAAATAAATAAATAAAATCTTAAAAAAAAATAAATGAACGAATGAATTAATGAATACGTACATAAACTGGCAATACAGCAACAGATTACATAACAGTGTTCTAGACTGCAGGGCTTTGGGAATTGCTTCTAATGTGCTTGCTGGTTTAGCCAAAATGGGTGAAAATCAGCAGCAACAATGATAACAAATGACAATCACAGAGCAATGATCCTTCAGCCTCTGGGCCAGATAAGTGCTTTATTCACACCGACTCATTTACGTCTCACCACATCCCCACCAGAGAGGGAGGTGTTATTTTTACCCCCAGTCTAGAGATAAGGAAAGGCAGCCCCAGAGAGCTGAAGTGACAGGTCTAGGGTTCATCTATCTCCACGACACCAGAGGTCTTGCTTAACCACAACAGACACTGCTCCTCCTCAGTGATTACCTGCCTGGGCGCTCACCAAGCGCCGGGCGCTAAGCAGGTCCACCAAACATTCCCTTGCGTCCTGGCCCCCACTTGCTGATGGAGCACCTGGCTGCAGACGTTAAATCAAGGGTCTCGGCACTGGGAAGGGGCAAAACCTCACCCGAAATCCAGGGTTTCTCATCCTGAGTCCAAAGCTCCTCCTACTCGCCAGGGGCTGGCAAACTACCCATGTGGGCCGGAGTGGGCCTGCAGCCTGCTTTTGTTCCAATAAAGTTTTATTGGAACACAGCCACACCCATCCTCTGACTACTACAAAAGCTACATGGCCTGTGAGCCTAAGGCACCTGGCTCTTCACAGAACACATGTGCCGTCCCCTGCTCCCCCCCATAATTTCTCCACATTTAATAAACAGAGTTAATTGTAGGGAATGGCATCTGCGACGTTTACGGCTCAGATACGAAATACAGTAAAAAAGGCTTGCTTTCATGTCCTGTGTGGAACAAAAACGTCCACAGGGTGCCTTCTAAAGATTACTGAAACCAATGGCCTATCTGAGTTGTAACATGGTCAAAATTGTTTTTCAAATGTGTTTTGGGCCTAAGAACACAGAGATCAACCACGTGGAATGAATTGGCCTTCTGAAAGGGAAACTTTCAGGAAGGAAACACCCCAGGGCAAATGCTTCCGGGCTTCCGGCCGGGCAGGAGCACGTGGGCTTACAGTGGTACCCAGATGTGTGTGTGTTTGCGGGGCGGGGGGCACACAAGACAATGACTCGCTTCTCTATGTGCCCTCCCAGGAGGTGCTCAGCACAGGCCTGGCACACAGTGCAGGTTCATGAACATTTGTTTATGGAAACAAAGTACACAAAGGTCTTCCCCCACCATGTACCGGTTTGTGGGGTACACCGAGCTGTACCAGAGACTCTAGGGGCTCACAGGTGAACAAGGCAGCTCCCGCCCTCCAGGAGCCCAAACTGGAGGGGTGGTGGGTGTGGGAAGAGCTGCAGGGCAGCATGGTGGCTGCAGGGCTGGGTCGCTGAACATATGGCTGGAGAAACACCCTGGTCTGGGGCTTGGGGAGGCTCTGGGAAGGCTTCCTGGAGGTGACGCCCAAGGAGACGAATACGCTCAAGTATTCAATCCGGTGGGAGAGATGAAAAGACAAACAAAACAAATAAAAACCCAGGTAAGACCTAAGGCGTGGGAAAGTTTACTCATGGGGGACGTTTTTGGGGTAAGTCTTGAAAATACTGCAGACCCAAAAACTTCCTGTCTTTTCCTGCTCCCATCTGTTGTTTCCTGTCACAGTAATGGTATTTCTGTCCTTCTAGCTCCGCCCACCACCTGGAGCTTTGGGGCCATAGTGAGCTCCTCTCTCTGCAACATCCACAGCATCTAATCTGTCCCTGAGTCAACTCTGTTCTCCCCGAGGAAAGTCTGTCTCACCTGTGCGCCCCTCCTCCTGGTGTCATTCAACCTGTCCATCTTTTGTTCCTGTGACACCTGGTTTAAACCTATCCAGGCACTTACCCTGTCTTCTAGTAATGGTAGTCAGTTATTCGGGTGCTCTACCCCAGATTATAAGCCTCTAGAGGGCAGGAGCCAGGCCTTGTTTTTCTCCCAGCAGTACACCTAGTATAGAGTAGGTGCTCAATAAATGCATGTTGCATGCATGAATAAGTATCTTTTCTCCCATTAGACTGTGTTCTTTTTGAGGGCAGGGAGTGTCTGTATTCATCTCATTCATGTATACCTTCCATGTAATCATACCTGGCACACAGTAGGTGCTCAGAAAATGCTTGGTGTAGGTAAATGAGTAAGTACCGAATGAGGTATGTCTTATCCCCCAGATTGTGAACTCTTTAAAGGTAAGGACAATGACTTTCTCCCCTTTGCCGGTAGCGCCCAGTAGGTGGCCTGGCTGTTAATAATGGCCTCCTTGAAGAAGCATGACATTCCCTCTGTGATACAAGAGCACTCACCTTTGCTCAGGTTCTGGAAAGAGCTGGGACAGGGAGATGCCACAGAGGGCAGCATAGGCAAAGCGGCTGGCCTCGGCCAACTCGCGGCCCGTGGGCAGATGTGGACCTCCCTCCACGGCCGGCTCGGCCACCAGAGGCAGCCTCTGGCTCGCTCTGTCCCGTGTGGCCATTTCCAGCCCTGCAGGATAAAAAAAAAAAATCTCTGAAAAATGCAACCAGGGGGTAGGTAAAAGTTACTTAAATGGGACACAATGACTACCAATCATGAAAGAAAAGGCTGATAAATGAACCTTCATTCAAATTAAGAGCTGCTATTCATCATCTTCAAGAGAGTGAAAACACACACCATGGACTAGGGCAGATATTTCAATGTGTATCAACAAAGGATTTGTACCCTAGTATATAAACAACCCCTATAAGTCATGAAGAAAAAGAAATAAGGCAAATTTAAAAATGGGCAAAACACCTGAACAGGTACTTCATAAAAGATACCCAATGGCCAATAAGCACATGAAGTTCCAACATTGTAGTCATCAGAGAAATAAATTAAAGCCCCAAAGAGACACTGCTACTTACTCGTCAGAATGGCTAAAATTAAAAGTCTGACAATACTAAGTGTTGATGAGGAAAGGGACACAGAACTTCCACATGCTGCTGGTGGGAGTTATTTGTGGTACAGCCTTTTGGAAAATGGTTTGACATTTTCCACTAAAGCTAAATGTATGTCTTTTCTATGCCCCAGTAATTCTACTCCTGAGAAACGAGGACTTATGTCCACCAGAGGGCATGTACATGAACGCTCCATTCACAGCTTCATTCACAATAGTCCCAAACCAGAAGCAAGTCACATGTTTGTCCACAGTGGAATGGAAAAACTGCACCATATTCAGACCATGGAATATTACAAAGCAGTGAAAAAGGATGAAGTCTGGCTAACCACAACAACATGAGCGAACCCCACAGGCACAATGATAAGCAGACATACTTATCTGTGGAACTGTGTTCATATGAACTTGAAGAACAGGTCGAACCAATCTAGGGTGAAAGAAGATGGAAGAGAGGTTGCCCATGGAAGGCAGTAAGTACTGGCTCAGAAGGGGCACAGTGAGGCTTCTGGATGATGGAAATGTTCTGTATCTGTATCACCCAGTGTGATTACATGGGTATAAATATATTTAAAAATTCATCAAGCTTAAGGCTTAAGACTTAAGATTTGTGTACTCTAGGGCAATCCTCTTGGATCCCCTCCCTCCTTGGGAGCTTTGTACTATCACTTTGCTATCACTCAATAAACTGCTTCGTTTCCCACTAAAAAAAAAAAAAAAAGATTTGTGTACTCTATATATGTTACATTTCAATGAAGGGAAGGAAGGAGAGAAGGAAGGGATGGGGGAGCTCTCCTTTTTCCCCTCCCTTTATTCTTTCCTTCTTTCCAAGGGGCAGAAGGGGAAGCAGGGAAAGCAGGGGAGGGGACAGACCAAGCCAAGTCAGACATCCAAGGGGCAGGAAGGGTCCTAGGAGTGAGTACTAGGAAGGGAACCTTCCTTGACCACAGGGCATTATGGATATGAATGCAGGCTCAGGACCAGACAGACCTGGGCATGAATCCAAGCACCTATGGAGCCCTGGGCAACTCAACCTCTCTGCACTTACACTTCTTCATCTGACAATGGGACTATAACAGTATCTGCCTGGAGGACCTAGATTGGCAGCAAGTGACATAGCTATGTGGGTTAGTATTTGTAAAGCACTTAGAACAAAGCCTGGCATTGGACTCATGCCACATAAATGTTTGTTAAAGAAATAAATGCATTAAACAATCAACAAACACGGGGCCTGGGTGGCTCAGTCGGTTAAGCATCTGACTCCCCCCACTCGTGCTCGCTGACATGCATGCACACTCTCTCTCAAATAAATAAATAAATAAATCTTTTTAAAAAACCAACAAACAAATCAATGAAATGCTCAGCACAGTGCCTGGCACATAGCAGAGGTGCCCACATAATGGCAAGAGCTAACATTATGTGCCTGTTGCTGGGGGCCAGGCCCTGGGGCTGCAGTGTTAACGCGCCCAGTCTCAGCTGACTCTATGAGCCAGGCACTACCATCATGTCCAGACTGCAAACAGAGGAGAAGTAACTGGGCCCGAATCACACAGCCAGTAAATGGCAGGCTGGAGCCCAAAGCCAGAGCTCTTGGCCACCACTTCTGCTTAAACACTCATCATATTATCAAGAGATTTCGAGTCTAATACCCACACTCCGCACTGGCTTTGGTCCCTAAATTCATTCTCATCCAGCTGAGCAATAAAAATTTTTGTCCTTGATCAAGAGATTTCGAGTCTAATACCCACACTCCACACTGGCTTTGGTCCCTAAATTCATTCTCATCCAGCTGAGCAATAAAAATTTTTGTCCTTGAAATATTACTTCTACAGAGGACTTATTTAAAAGTCTGTGCATGGGCGCCTGGGTGGCTCAGTTGGTTAAGTGACTGCCTTCGGCTCAGGTCAAGATCCCAGAGTCCTGGGATCGAGTCCCGCATCAGGCTCCCAGCTC